ATGGAGTTTCACTCTCGTTGCCCGGGCTAGAATGCAATGGCGCGATCTCGGCTCACCACAACCTCTGCCTCCCAGGTTCAAGCAATTCTCCTGCCTCAGTCTCCCAAGTAGCTGGGATTACAGGCATGTGCCACCATGCCTGGCTAGCTTTGTATTTTTTAGTAGAGATGGGGTTTCTCCATGTTGGTCAGGCTGGTCTTGAACTCCTGACCTCAGGTGATCCACCCATCTCGAACTTCCAAAATGCTGGAATTACAGGCGTGAACCACCACGCCCGGCAAGATATGTAACCTTTCTGTAAAATAGGAGCAAAAATGCCTATCATAGAGTTAATAGAGGATTAAGTGACATGATGTAAAGTGCCCAGAAGGTAGATGGCTCATAGTAAATACCCAGTAAATGTGGTCTAGAATTCCCTTCCCCTTTTTTCCTCATCAACAGTCATGTTATCACTCCATGCATTAAATATTTAGGGGTCTTCATCAGAACAACTCTCTGGCCCCCTTCTTCCCTTCATTCAACAAATCCGTCCAGAGGATGAGTTCCATGAGAACAGGTACCAAGGCTGCTTCTTCATTTGTCACTGCACACCCGGCACCCAGCACAGTGCTGGGCCCCTCACACAGGCACACTTTATCATCCCAGAATTAATAGAGCACCATCCTCCAAGCCAAGAACAAGTGATGAACAAGACAAGTCACGGCTCTCAGGAAGCTTACGGTTTAGTGGAGGAGACAAAAAAACATAAAGGATTTCAGACAGTGATAATGCTATGAAGAACAGTAGCCTGTTAGAAAGTAACAAGGAAAAGGCCAAGGGCGGTGTCTCCTGTAATCTCAGCACTTTGGGAAGCCGAAGTAGGAGTACCACAAGATCAAGAGATACAGACCATCCTGGCCTACATGGTGAAATCCTGTCTCTACTAAAAATACAAAAATTAACTAGGCATGGCAGCACATGCCTGTAATCCTAGCTACTCGGGAAGCTGAGGCAGGAGAATCACTTAAACCCAGGAGGCAGAGGTTGCAATGAGCCAAGATTGAGCCACTGCCTCCAGCCTATCCAGCCTAGGGACAGAGCTAGTACTCCCTCTCAAAAAAATGAAACAGGGGAAGCCATTTTATAAATGGGTGATCAGGGAAGGCAACATGGGAGCCGAATGTTCCCAGAGAGGGAACAGCTAACATGAAAGCTCTGAAGCAGGGCCCAGTTTGAGATGATCAGGAAACCAAGGCCGGGCTCGATGGCTCACACCTATAATCCCAGCACTTTGGGAGACCAAGGCGGGCAGATCATGAGGTCAGGAGTTCAAGACCAGCCTGGCCAACGTGGTGAAACCCCATCCCTACTAAAAATACAACAATTAGCCAGGTGTGGTGGCAGGTGCCTGTAATCCCAGCTACTCGGGAGACTGAGGCAGAATTGCTTGAACCTGGGAGGCGGAGGTTTCAGTGAGCTGACATCATGCTACTGCACTCCAGCCTGGGTGACAGAGTGAGACTCTAAAAAAAAAGAGAGAGAGAGAAGAAACCAAAAGGTGCTCACGTAGCTGCACAGTGAAGCAGAGGAAGAGAGGAGACAAACAAGATGAGGCTGGAGAGGTGGAAACAATACGTCACACAGGGCCTTGGAAGACACAAGAGACTGAATTTTATTCTAGGAGGAACAGGAAGCCACTGGAAGGCCTAAAGCAGAGAAATGACCCATTCTGATTTATGCTTTTATTTTATTTTAATTTTTTTAAATTTATTTATTTTTGAGACAGAGTCTCACTCTGTTGCCCAGGCAAAAGAGCAGTGGCGCAATCTCGGCTCACTGCAACCTCCGCCTCCTGGGTTCAAGCAATTTTCCTGCCTCAGCCTCCCAAGTAGCTGGGATTACAGGCACCTGCCACTATGCCTGGCTAAATTTTGCATTTTTAGTAGAGATGAGGTTTCACCATGTTGGCCAAGCTGGTCTCGAACTCACCTCAAGTGATCCGCCTACCTTAGCCTCCCAAAGTGTTGGGATTACAGGTGTGAGCCACGACTGGCCTATTTTATTTATTTTATTTTATTTTATTTTATTTTATTTTATTTTATTTATTGAGATAGAGTCTCACTCTGTCACCCAGGATGGAGTGCAGTGGTGTGATCTCAGCTCACTGCAACCTTCACCTCTCAGGTTCAAGAGATTCTTCTGCCCCAGCCTCCTGAGTAGCTGGGACTACAGGTATGTACCACCACACCCGGCTAATTTTTTTGTATTTTTAGTGGAGGTGGGGTTTTGCCATGTTGGCCAGACTGGTCTCGAACTCCTGACCTCAGGTGATCCACCTGTTTCGGCCTCCCAAAGTGCTGAGATTACCAGTGTGAGCCACCCTGCTTGGCCTAATTTATATTTTTTAAAAGTCACTCCAGCTACTGTGTGGAGAATGGACTAAGGGGAAGACAGAGTTGGACGTGAAGAGCCCAGAAGGGAAGTTACTGCAGCATCCAGATGAGGGAGGTGGCTTGGAATAGAGCATGGTGGTGATGAAACACAGTGGTCACGTACTAGCCTCGGTGACCACGTCCCCCTCCCCTTGGCAGCATTTGGCCCCTTGTCTATCCTGTCCCCCAGCCCTAATTGCAGGCAGAACAGATGTGTTTGTGTCAATGTCCACCTCCCCCAGAAGCCCAGGCTTGACTCAGGTCAGCTGAGGCCTGGACATGGCCATGCCAAGGCTCCAAGGACTGAATCAATGAACCTGTGAGGGCAACTCCACTCCACAGCCTTGTGTCTGAAAGCACAAGGATATTAGTAACTAAAAGGGAGAAATGGGGCAGGAGGAGGAAGCTGGGGCAGATGGTGGCGGTTTTATGAAAGAAGCAAAACTACAGCAGGGGTTACAAGAAATCAGGGCAAAGTGCAGCATCTACGTGGGTGTCCCCATGTAGGCTGAGACCTCACATCTGCCCTGAAAATGGCCCCACAGAGGCAGAGATGGCACTGGGAGATGGTGCCATTACTGGGTGATGGCAACCTGGAGGGCAAAGCCCTTCTGGAGGAGTATAGGGTGAAGGAAGTCTTGGGAAAACAAATCTAGAATTTGTTTTTGTTTTTTTTTTTTGAGACAGAGTTTCACTCTTGTTATCCAGGCTGGAGTGCAATGGCGCAATCTCGGCTCACCACAACCTCCGCCTCCTGGGTTCAGGCAATTCTCCTGCCTCAGCCTCCTGGGTAGCTGGGATTACAGGCACGCACCACCATGCCCAGCTAATTTTTTGTATTTTTAGTAGAGACAGGGTTTCACCATGTTGACCAGGATGGTCTCGATCTCTTGACCTCGTGATCCACCCACCTCAGCCTCCCAAAGTGCTGGGATTACATGCATGAGCCAACGCACCCGGCAAATCTAGAAAGAATTTGAAATAAGCAGGTAGGAGCTGTGGACCTACGCTACCCAGAGGGCTCAGGCTCTGAAACATCTCTGGCCAGCTGGAGAGTTAGGTCTGGGGCCAGGGAAGAGCAAAGCAACTGGGCTAATGGGGTTAAGAAACTCTTAGGATCGGCCGGGCACAGTGACTCATGCCTGTAATCCCAGCACTTCAGGAGGCCGAGGCGGGCGGATCACCTCAGGTCGGGAGTTTGAGACTAGCCTGACCAGCATGGAGAAACTGTCTCTACTAAAAATATAAAATCAGCCAGGCATGGAGGCACACGCCTGTAATCCCAGCTACTTGGGAGGCTGACGAAGGAGAATCACTTGAACCCGGGAGGCAAAGGTTGCGGTGAGACAATACTGTGCCATTGCCCTCCAGCCTGGACAACAAGAGCAAAACTCCGTTTAAAAAAAAAAAAAAAAAAAAAACTGCTAGGATCGGCTACAGATGCCACTTTTCTTCCAGCCAGGTGACGCAGTCCAATAAGAAGTAGATGGCAGACAAGGTAGGGTAAGACCCTGAGCTGAGACAGCTTACCTCCATCTCAACTGTCAATTCCCAAAGGGCCCCTCTCTACCCCTGGGCCAAGGTTCAGGCCTTAGACCCCTCTCCCCAAATTAGGGATCATGGAGCAGCTTCCTTACCCTTCTACAGATTTTGCCCAAGTCGACTCTTCAGGCAGATCTATCTTTCCAGGGTCCCACTGCCCTTGAGACAGAATTCAAGTTCCTGACGTGGCTGCCCAAGTCCACCTTGATCTAGTCTCACCTACATCTCTGCTTCGTCAGGCCCACTCAACATGCCTGCCATTTACCAAACCCACCCTGATCTTTGGGCATACTGTCCCTTTCCTCTGAGATGTCCTCATCCCTTAGCTCAGACTCTGGAAAACTAGAATCAACACAGGTCCACCTCCTTCAGTAAGACTTTCCAGGGCAATCTGGGCCTCGGCCAGCCCTGAGAGCTCACTCTACCAGTTCACCTTGTCTCATGCCCACCTCCCCAGGCCCATGGGCTCCTCTCCCAAACAGCACCAGCTCAGGGCCAGCACTTCAGACCCTCTGCAGCCCATCTCAGTTCTTCCCCTGCTACCCTGTGCTGGCCACAGAAGACAGAGATGTAGCAGTGGGGTCCCTGCCGTCGAGGAAAGCCAGTGTGCTAAGGGAGGCAGATACACCCACCAATGCCCACCACAGGGGGCCGACTGGTAAGAAACAGCCCATATACTCCAGGGCCCAGAGGAAGGAGGAAAGGCCTCCTGGAGAGAGAAAGATCTGAGCCAGGTCTCAAAGGATGTAAGGCAGAGGAGCAGGAAGAGCTTTATAAGCAGGGAAAGGAGCAGAGGAAGGAAGGAGACCAAGGGCAGTGTCCGGCACAGCAGGGCTCCATGTAGGTGAGAGATGACGGGCAGGGGTGAAGTGCTGGGGACACAAGCCTGCACGCCTCCTGTGGGTGAAGGGCACCAGGGGAAGTTGTGGAGCAGGAGACTGGCATAGCTGGAGCCTGGGTCTGCACAGTCAAGCCAGCCCTGCTCTCAACAGGCTCCAGCCCCCAGCACCCTCACGATGACGCCCAGAAAGCACACAGACAAGGAGCTGTTTCTTGACTGTTAATTGGGTCTTGGCCCATGTCATAGGGTGGAGGGACCAGGATGAAGAGAGGGAAACCAGAACAGGGAGCGAGGTCCAGACTCTGGGGATCTGTGCTTCTTGTAGGGGGTTGGGGGAGAGGACACGGAAGCCTTTGCCCCATGCTGGATACTTCCTTGCTGTGGCAGCAGGGCAGCTGTGCCCCGGCTGGGCTGAGCTGCAGAGTGTGAGTCTCAGGTCCTCCGGAGCTGGAGCCATCAGGATGGCTGCTTTTCGGGGGTCATCAGTCGCTCCACCTCTCGCATGAACCGCAGACACAACTCTTCCTGCCAGGGCAGGGCCACGCACTGCACAGCCACAGGCAGCCCCACGCTCTTCTTCATGGCCTACAAGGGGACACAGGCATCAGGACGGGGTTAGCGAGGCAGGACTCCCCACCAAGCCCAGGCCTCTCTCCAGCATCCCAGCTGGAAAAGCAGGGTCAGGCCACAGTCTTTCAGATCTTGCTTAAGAAAGGCTGGCACACCCACAGTGCTTGTACTGTTTCCTCCGTAGCGGCCAGAGTCGGGGTGGGGAGTGAGTTCAGGTGAGGGGCAGGCCAGACCTCACCTTCTGCAGCGTCTTGTCCCAGATGTCCCCAAAGTAGCCCCTGTAATGTTCCATCTGGGCCTCGTCCTCAGCAGTCACCGTGGTGACAGGCACCACCCCCGCAGGGAAGTCCAGGCAGTTGTAGAGCAGAGTGTAGCTGACGGCCCCTGGAACATATCACAGTTGGCTGCAGCAGGGCCTGAGAACCTTCAGGGCCGACTGCGGGCCTGAGGCAAACCCCCTATGAAATGGTACTCTGTGTCTACAGCCAGAGAAAGGCTCTCTCCCAGGACTGAGGTCTGAGTGACAAAGCCCACGACTTCAGATTTCAGGGCTAGGCTGTACATCTCACTGATGCTTGCCCCATGCCTTTGCTCAGGTACTTTTCCCACTGGGAATGTTGTTCCTGTTTTCTTTTCCTTTTCCTTTTTTTTTTTTTTTTGAGACAGAGTCTCACTCTGCCACCCAGGCTGGAGTGCAGTGGTGTGATCATAACTCACTGCAGCCTCAACCTCCTGGGCTCCAGTGATCCTCCCGCCTCAGCTCCCCGAGGAGTCAGGACTACAGGCACATGCAACCACATCTGGCTAGTTTTTCTATTTTTTTGTAGTGACAGGGGCCTCACTATGTTGCCCACACTGGTCTTGAGTTCCTGGGCTCAAGTTATCCTCCAGCCTCAGCCTCCCAAAGTGCAGGGATTATAGGTGTAAGCCACCACCCTATTTTCTTAATTTATCTAAATCCCACCTGGAATTCAAACCACCACCTCCCCAGACTAGACTCTAACTCAAGATTCCCAACTTGAATAGTGCTGATGACAGGAATATCAATCCCGGCCAGGGCATCCCACACAACTCTCATGTCTCCAGCCAGCCCGACTGTGGGCCCCGCAGGGGCAGGGTCCTCCCTGAGGGCTCCTCTTCTTCCAGTACCTAGCAGCCCTGCAGGGCATATGGTCAGATTCATAGAAAGGACAGACAGGGGGCTGGGCGCGATGGCTCACACCTGTAATCCCAGCACTTTGGGAGGCCGGGGTAGGTGGACCATCTGAGGTCAGGGATTCGAGACCAGCCTGACCAACATAGAGAAACCCTGTCTCTAATAAAAATACAAAATTAGCTGGGTGTGGTAGTGGGCGCCTGTAATCCCAGCTTCTGGGGAGGCTGAGGCAGGAGAATCACTTGAACCGGATGCAGAGGTTGCAGTGAACCAAGATCACACCATTGCTCTCCAGCCTGGGTGACAGATCAAAACTTCATCTCAAAAAAAAAAAAAAAAAAAAAAAAAACGGACAGGCAGTGTGTCTGGTCTCACCTGTGGCCCTGCGTGCGGCATTCAAGTCCAGAGCAGGGCCCAGCATGGGGGTCAGCAGCACATCCAGGTCCAGCGCCTTCCACTGGGCAATCACGGTGTTGCGGTACCCCTGGGGGACACAGCACACTGGGTGAAGCACTCAGACTCAGCCCGCCCCAGGCTCTCTAACTCAGGGACTGTGGCTGGGGTGGCTCTGGCCCCAGCACCTAGCCCTGGATCTGAACTGGGCCATAAGGGGACACAGGTCCTCCGGGCAGGCAGGCAGTGCTGCCTCTCAGAGGGCATCAGTCGTTCCACCTTCCCAATGAATTGTGGACATGTCTCTTCCTGCCGGGGCAGAGCCACCACACACAGGCAGCTCCACAGGGGAGAAAAGGCAGCCCGGACGAGAGCCTTGGGTTGACCCAGCCCCAAAGGATGAGCATCTGGGCAAGTAAGGGTCAGACAGCAGGGCCCAGGTAGTGGTCCAGGAAGTGGAAGGGGGTTGACAGGCCAGTCTAGGAGCTCCGTGGGGGCACTGGCCACAAGACCCTGGCAGCAAGTGCCCTGTCCAACTCCATCCTCCCCCCACCACCCTGCTTCAGTCCAAAGGCTCTGGCCTCACCTCGATCTCATGCTGCAGTTCCCAGAGTTTTCCAGCCGACCTGAGCAGAAGGAGTGAGATCACCAGCCATGATGGTCACAGCCAAAGAGATCAGCAACATCAGACCCCTACTGCCAGCCTCCCAGGTCTCACTCCTCCATGGATCCTTCACAACCCCATGGGAGCTCTGAGAGGGACGTTCAAATCCCTACTGTCTGGATGAGAAAATCAAGCCCCAGAGGGGCACAGGCTGGGTCACTTAGTGACTCCACAGCAGAGCCAGGACTAGCCCAGGCCTGACTGCTCAGGACACAGGACAGGCCATAGCTGCCGCCAGTCCTGAAGCCTTGTGGTAAGGGAATGAGTGAGTCTAGGAACGTCAGGTCCTGAAACGGTGGGTGGGGGGTTCCAGCCCAAGTCACTAAGGGGCAGGTGCACCTGGCGCAGCTCAGATCAGCTCAGGTCTCTAGCAGCAGCATCCCCCGGGTACCCCCGCCCTGGCCCAGGCCAACCCCTCACTTCCTGCTCCTTTCCATCCACACCCCAGCCAGGTCAACCTCCTCCTCTCCAACTCCCCGATCCGCTTGTCCCCTCAGGCCTTTGCTCTCCAGCCAGACCTGGACCTGGCCCAAACGACTTCAAAGTCCCACTTGAAAGCCACGAAGGTTGCCCCCCTGCCTGGGCCACTTCCAGCCTCAGAGGTTACTTCCCTAGAGTCCTCTCCTGTCAGAAACTACCCAGATCCGGACTCGGATCAGGACAGGCAGGGGCAAGCAGCTGGGTGCGGAGGAGCCCTCACCGAGGCTTCATGCTGCTGAGGAAGGCCGACAGCCTTGGGAGCTGCAAGGGACAGACGCAGGGTTGGTGACTCCACTCTGAGCCATGGCAGGTGGCAAGCCACTGGGGACCCTCCCTCCATGCCTGCCCCTGGGGCCCAGATCGGCACCCCTTTTAGCATGCACATTGGCTGAAAATCGCAGGGGACAGGGGAGGAGGGCAGTCTGGGTGGGGACTGGAGAGGAGGCCATGCATGCCCAAACCAAGAGAGGCTGAGGGAAGCCAGAGGAACAGGATAGGAGGCCCCATGCTCCCCACTAGCCGTCCTAGCCCCTCCACTCCTTGTGCCCTCACCAGAGGCTTCACCAGGAAGGCCAGCAGTCCTTTAAGCCAGTTGGGAACCTTCAGAGTGAAGACCAGGTCCTCCAGGCAGGGGTCCACGAAATCACCTTTGCTGGGAAACAAAAGGCAGAGTCCAGGCACTCCCATCCCTGCATCCTTCCCAGCCTGCTCGCCCGGCCCACAGCAATGCCATTCTCTACTCAGGGGTCCTGTCCACCTTGTCCTCACCAGACTCAGCTGCCTCCTTCCAAAATGCCGTTTGATTCTGCTGGTCCTTTAAGAAGCCTGGACTCCAACCCACACCGACGGGAGCTCCCCAAGGCAGGACTCAGGGTCTCCCTCTCCAGCAAACCCAGCTCAGAACTCTAAGAACTGAGGGCAATGTCTCCCTGATGAGGCCACCCTGTGACCACCTCCCCTTTGACAGGGAGGCCAGCCTGGAGGCACAGCTAGGTCAGTCATGGTGGGGACTGCCCATGGAGCATGGCTCTGAGGCTATCTCTGGCTCAAGATCTCAGGGAAAGGTCTTAGAGAGCTGATCCTGGAGACTCATTCCCAGGGCCAGAGTGAGGAGTGGCCCCTTCCACTGAAGCCTGGACCACACTTGGCTGCTAGATGAAGGAAAGGAACATGACAGGCTGGGCCTTGACTGAGTAAAGCTGCAGGGCCGAGTTCTCCATAGGTAAAGCGGAGGAAGTGGGACTGTGTTCTGAAGGGCCACAGCCCATCCAGCAGAGGCATGTCACCAGGAAGCGCCTGCTCTCTGCCCCTGACAACCTTTAAGGACTAAAAACAGCCCAGAAGAACCAACTTCTCTAAAAATGAGTTCTGCAAAGTCCCTTAAAGGGAGTCTGGTCCAACCCACCCACTTTACAGGAGAGAAATCTGAGGTCTTACTCAAAAGGAAGACTTGGCTCAAGTCTGGAGAGCCTGGAGTCACAGCGTGAAGTCCGAACACCCACCTTCCTGTCTGGATCCTGCCCTTGCCTTAAATCTTTCCCAGACAGCGAGGCAACCACCTGCCCACCTCCTACCTCACAACAAGCTCAGATCAGACACAGGCCATGATACTCAGTGTAGCCTCCCCCTGGGCTGGTGCCCTGGCAAGGGATCTCCAGGCTCACCAGGTAGAAGGACAGCGAGGTCCCTGCCCAGAGCACTAAGGCCTTTGTCAGATTCAGCTAAGGCCCATCCAGCCATCACCGCCACCTGCTGCTCCCGCTAGGTCTGATCCCACCAAGACCCCAAAGCCCACTATCACTCACAAATTCTGTAGGTAGGTTTGGCCACCATCACTGAAGAGCCCACCTGTTGACAGGGTCTCCAGAGCATAGGGTATGTTGCTTGGCAAGAAGGGCACCAGCTGCAGAGATTGAGGAGTGTAAGCACTCCTGAACTAACAACTGGCTCCATGACCCCCACGCTGTCTGGGCAGCCCTGAGCTTGATTAGACCAACCTGCCCACATGGTAGCTCTCACTAGAGCCACAAAGGCAGCCTAACTGAGCCAAGAAAACTCACTGTAGAATGCACAGCATGAGAGAAGTCTGGAGCCACACATAAAGTTGTATAAATAACCAGACCAAAACCCACTGGCCCTGGGAACCTCTGGACAGCTGTGCAGCCCTGTACCCTTTATCAGCCCTCTAGATACTCATCCCACAGGGCCACAGATCACCCCCACGACAACACAATCAGAATGCCAGGATGCCAGGGATGGAGTAGCCATGGGTACCAGGAAGGCTTCCCTGGACAGGAGGAGATGCCAGCACCTCCAGGACCCTGCAGTCATACCGTGTGCCCCGCAGCCTCAAGGCTCTGCCTAGTCTCCAGCACGGCCCTCCTCATGGCCGGGGTGGGCATGGTATAGTTGTCAGTCTCATAGTACCCTACACGCAGCGGCCGAGAGCTGGTGTAGACCTGGAGGGAAAACACAGGGGACAGGGGCAGGTCAGGAGAAGACAGCCCTAGGCAGGACCCCTAGAGATCAAAGGAACTGGCCGGGTGTGGTGGTTCATGCCTGTAATCCCAGCACTTTGGGAGACTGAGGCAGGCAGCTCATGAGGTCAGGAGTTCGTAATCCCAGCACTTTGGGAGGCCAAGGCAGGCAGATCATGAAGTCAGGAGTTTGAAACCAGCCTGACCAACATGGTGAAACCCCATCTCTATTTAAAAAGAGAGAGAGAGAGAGAGAGAGAGAGAGAGAGAGAGAGAGAGAAATACTCAACCCCAGACACAGCTGCAGTCAGTGAGGCCAGCCCCTTCTGCATCTGACCCTTTCACAAAACACCTTCACAGTGACTCAGAGGTGGGCAGAGCAAGGATGAGGATTCCTACTGGTCACAGGAGGAGACTGAGGCTTGAGGTCTAGATAGGGAGATTGGGTGGGATCGGGACTTTCCCAAAGCTAACCAATGCAGAGCAACAAGACAGGTCTGGAACACAGGCACCCTGCCTTCTAAGCTGAGGCTTTCCACCAACTGTCCTGGCTCTCATGAGAAACTGTTCCAGACTTCCAGATAGGGACCTCATCTCCCCCTCTCCTCTGAGGAAGGACTTCACGGCTGCCTATCCCCGTGGGTTCTGCCTCAGCCCAGATCTGCCCTGCTGCCCAACACCCGAGACACCCCAAGGCCCACTGTCCTTCCTGTCCAGAAACCCTCAGCCTTTCCAAGGCAACCTTGGCTGGGGTGTGTACAGAATAGTCGCTGGACTGCTGAGAAATGGGGCTTACATCACACAGCTTACTGTCTACATTAATGTGACTTCACTCTTCTCCATCTGCACAGATCTAATTTTAGAGCTCCTGAACACTCTGTTGGAGTGGGCACAGAGGATGACCTAGGACCCAGCATCTGCCTCACTGGGGACATTTGGCTCCAGCCTCAACCTGGCTGTTTCTGGCCTTCAACCCTAACACACAGAGAGAGAGAGAGAGAGTACCCCAGGACCAGGGCACAACCAGGACACTCAAGAGAGCAAGATACTGGCCTCAGATGCCCTGCAGCAGGGCATGAGTTGGGAGAGAGATGACCACTGGCCACTCCCCCACCTCCTCCAAATAACACACATAAGCACAAATAACCTTCCCACTCATTCTGGAAACACCCATCAACTCTTCAACAGGAAGCATCCGTTGGCAGTTTACACTCCATGACCCTCTTAACTTCTTACCTTAAAATTCACACCCTGCTGTGCCCACCAATCCTTAACTAACATGGTGGGGGAGTCATATCATAACCCTTACCCAATCCTAACCAACCCCCATGTTGAAAGACCTACCTTAAATCAGACTTCAAAATCTCAGCAAATCTCCCCATTCTGCCTGCCCTCTGAGATGCTACTAAGGCTTTGCAAGGCAGTGCTCCCTTGCCACAGAAAGCAACAAGCCCAGCCTGTCTCCACATCAGACTGTTGCAGTGATTTTTTTTTTTTTTTTAAGGCTGAGTCTCACTCTGTTACCCAGGCTGGAGTGCAATGACGAGACCTCGGCTTACCGAAATCTCCACCTCCAGGGTTTAAGCAATTCTTCTGCCTCAGCCTCCTGAGTAGCTGGGATTACAGGCATGCTCCATCATGCCCAGCTAATTTTCATATTTCTAATAGAGACGGGGTTTTACCATTTTGGTCAGGCTGGTCTCGAACTCCTGACCTCGTGATCCACCCGCCTCGGCCTCCCAAAGTGCTGAGACTACAGGCGTGAGCCACTGCGCCCCGCTGTTGCAGTGATAATTTAAGGAGCAGCACGCCACGCTGCCTGCAGACTCCAGCTCACGCAGCCTACATCTGGCAAGAACAAGCTGCGCGAGCTGGGGTCTGCAGGCAGCGTGGCGTGCTGCTCCCCAAAATGTGGACAGGAATACTGTTAGAAAGACTGCTGTTTGCCGAAGGTCAGCGGGCTGGGAAGTGATTCCTGCATCCCTGGTGCCAGCAGCAGAGGCCAGGCACCTTGGAAAGCCTGTGGGTTAAATGCAGGCAAGGGCTCCATCTGGTGGCCGTCTGTGGAGGAGCAGCCCACCCTAGTCTCAGAGCCCCAGGGGACGTTTCTCCGGAGACAGGGCCTCCGAAGCCTGCCCACGGGCCTGGGGCGACTGTGTGGGTTCAGCAGTCCACACCCATGCCCACTCAGCCCTGCTCACCTCTTCTCGGAAGGGCAGGGGAGGCACGGTGGGGTCCAGGCGGAACATGTCCTCACACAGCAGGGCTCGCAGGCACAGTGCCAGGCTCTCCACGTCCCGGGCCATGGGGCCCACAGAGAGGCGCACTGGGACAGAGACGGGAGGGAGGTGAGCAGACAAGGAGGGAGGAACCCAGAGACCCAGAGCAGCCTGGGAGCCAGACGCTGCCCTGCCACCTGAGAAGCACCTGAGGGCAGAAGCAGGCCGACCCCCACCCCCCTGGGGCACTGAGGGCACCACCGACCTCACCTGCCTCCTGTCCATAGACACAGCCCTTCAGGCCACTCTTGCTGGATGAGAAACACAAGACGCTGGAAACAGGAAATGGCCACCCGCCGCCATTTCCCCGCCCGCAGAGCAGCTCTGAACACTCACCACTTTGGAAACTAGGACCCACGCCCGGCCAGTGGGACTAATGCTTCCTCCCAGCAAAGCCCCGGTGACCAAATCCCCGCCTGGAGCCCAGAGAGGTCGGAAGCTAGGCCAAGGTCACACAGCGAGAGGCCCAGGCGCGCCCTCCACCCACCCTACCTGAGGCGATTCCCTGTGGGCTTGAGGCCGCAAATGCCGCAGAAGGAGGAGGGGAAGCGGATGCTGCCTCCGATATCAGTGCCTAAGCCCAGGGGGGAGCCTCCAGCCGCGATGAGGGCCCCTTCACCCCCTGAGGAGCCCCCTGGGCTTTTGGAGGACTTCCATGGGTTCAAGGTCTGGCCGAAGAGGGGGTTACTGCAGTCATAGCTGGAGGAGGCCAGAATGTGTCAGCCTGTATCACGCTGGCATCGGTGCCCCTGCCCCACCCCACCCAGAGACCCAACCTGAGCATGGACTGGGGAACATTGGTGTGCACGAAGGGCACGGCGCCCTGCAGCTTCAGCACGCGCACCACCACGCTGTCACACTCCGCCGGCACCCCTTCATTCAGGCTCAAGCCCAGCGTGGAGTCCTGGTCCTGGGACGAGGGATGGTGGGCACAAAAAGGGGTATGGCTGATGAGTCAGAGCCCATGGGCAGCCCAGGGTCCACTCCAACAACTGTCACACAGGCCAAGACAGGCACAACAGCGTCCCCTTGCAAGGCCACTGGACCTGGGCCCAAAATGACCCAGGACCCACAGCAGGCTGGCAGGGACGGAGCGGCCAGCGGAGGCCCGGCACTGAGGCGGAGCATACCTTGTAGGTGAAGCACTCCTTGAGGCTCACAGGGACGCCATAGAGCAGGCCCTGCCTTGGAGCCTGGGACAGCTGAGTCTCACAGTCAGCCAGGTAGGAGGTCACACAGTTGGTCCCTTTGTTCACTTCCCAGGCCTGAGGAAGGGGAAATAAGACATAAGGGAGAAGGAGACTGGCCTTTTCCAAAAACTCTGGTGAAATATACATCATGTAGAACCAGCCTTTTAAAGTATGCCCAGGGAGGGGGTAACCAGCAACATGGGCCAGAGCCTGGGACACAGAGGATGGCCTAGGGCCCGCAGCTGCCTCACTGGGAACATTTGGCCCAGGCCTCATTCCTGGCTGTCTCTGGCCTTCAGCCAGGACCAGGGCACAACCAGGACACTCAAGGGGGCAAGATACTGGCCTCAGCAGAGGGTGGGCTGGGAGGAAGATGACCACTGGCCACTCCCCCACCTCCTCCAACTCCTCCAACCCACATCTCCGCCCAGTGAGACAGATAGAAACCAGGCAAGGGCAGACCCCCATCTCTGGTCACAGAAGGGCAGCGACAGAGCAGGGCTAGACCAGACTCCTGCCTCCCGGAGCCCAGCACTCTCTCCTCTACCCAACTCCTTTCCCACACCCAGCCCAGTCAAGCCTCCCCTTACCCAAGAACTCTTTAATTTGATAATCAAGTCACATGGAGTAAGAGCTTGACTAAAGGGAATAACATGCTAATAATGGAAATCTGCCTAGAGCGCTCAAGCGGCACCATGCAGGGTCCTACAGAGGGAAAGGTGAGAGCGGAGTGAGATGTAGTTTTCTGGAAACACTCCTGTCCTGGGGGGCACCGGAGGGAAACAGGGTGAGCTCTGTGGCCATACTCAGGCATATGTAAAATCTGTCCCTGGGGTACCCGAGGCAGGAAGGGAGAAAGGCCAATCTATAACCAGATTGACTAGGTTAACCAGGAAGGGCAGGAGCCTTTTTAGGGACATTTATGGGGAAGAAGCAGCACCATCTGCTGAGACTGCATATGTGCCCTCTGGGTGACGCCAGCCCAGCATGCTCTCGCTCCCCAGCTGCAGCCTCGACAGCACTGTCACATACACCACACCCGGACAAGTTCAACTGTCTAGGGGTCACATTCTCTGTCACACGCCCTTTCAAAAAATCATGCAGGCCACACTCACAAAGCACAATTTCTCTCTCCTTCCTTCTTTCCTCCCTCCCTCCCTTTCTTTTCAAACGTATTTCTTGAGCACTTATTATGTGAAATGCAACACTTAGTGTCTTTGAGCACTAAGCTTCAAAGACAAATAAGATAAGCTCAATTCATGAAGGACACATGGGAAAGAGAAGACAAGCCTGACACTGCGATGAAAAATGTGCTGTTAGAATGAGAGTAGGCCCCGAAGAGGAAATCCTGCCTCGGGCTGGGAAGGGAAGATGGTGCTTCCTGCTCTGAGCCCAGAAGGCTCAGTCAGGGGAGTCTGTGGCATGGAGAGGGACAAAGAGGGAAAGAGCCTTTGAGGTAAAGGAGCCCCATCCAAGCCAGTGCAGAGTTTGGATGGGACACCCCAAGCTCCAGAAGGCCTTGGCCAGAGGTGATGCGGGACACAGAGGAGAAGTTCCAGAGACAGTCTGAAGAGCTAGGGACACAAGAAGGCACCTGGCCAGGAGCTGGTGCTTGTGCATGGAGGGAGATGGTGGTGGTGGGCCAAAGGTGATGGAGACAGGGGAGGGCTGGGTAAAAGAAGGGAACAGCCTCACACCTATAATCCCAGCACTTTTGAAGGCTGAGGTGGGTTGATCACCTGAGGTCAGGAGTTCCAGACCAGCCTGGCCAACATGGGAAAACCTCATCTCTACTAAAAAGATAAAAATTAGCCGGCCGTGGTGGCAGGCGCCTGTAAACCCAGCTACTCAGAAGGCTGAGTAGCTGTAAACCCAGCTACTCAAAAGACACAACAATCTCTTGAACCTGGGAGGCAGCGGTTGCAGTGAGCCAAGATCATGCCACTGCACTCCAGCCTAGGCAACAGAGCAAGACTCTGTCTCAAAAAAAAAAAAAAGCGGGGAAGGGAAGGGAAGGGGTTGGGCATGGTGGCTCATGCCTGTAATCCCAGCACTTCAGGAAGCCAAGACGAGTGGATCACCTGTGGTCAGGAGTTCAAGACCAGCCTGATCAACGTGGTGAAACCCCATCTCTACTAAATACAAAAAATTAGCTGGGGGCCAGGCGCCGTGGCTCACAGCTGTAATCTCAACACTTTGGGAGGCCAAGGCAGGTGGATCACTTGAGGTCAGGAGTTCAAGACAGCCTGGCCAACATGGTGACTCTACTAAAAATACAAAAATTAGCTGGGTGTGGTGCCAGGCGCCTGTAATCCCAGCTACTCAGACTCTCAGGCTGCAGTGAGCCGAGATCTCACCACTGCACTCCAGCCTGGACAACAGAATGAGACTTCATCTCAAACAAAAAAAAATATTTTTAATTAGCTGGGCATGGTAGCACATGCCTGTAATCCCAACTACTTGGGAGGCAGAGACAGGAGAATCGCTTGAACCCAGGAGGCAGAGGTTGCAGTGAGCCAAGACTGTGCCATTGCACTCCAGCCTGGGCGACAAGAGCAAATCTCTAAAAAAAAGAAGGGAACAGACCAGACTTGTTGACTGAGGGGAGTGGAGTGGGGAAAGAGAAGGAAATCTGGGCTAAAAGCCAGGTTACTAGCTAAGACAGCATGCTCAGTGTCACACACATACACACACACACACGCACGCACACGCGCACACACACGCACACACACACACGCACGCACGCTCTGGCTCCCTCCCTCCCTGGCTGTCCCTGGTACTGTGGGTCCCACCATGGCCCCCAGCAGGACTGACTCCAGGCCAGCTTTTTCCCACAGCCTGTGCAGAGTGTCGGGGGAAGGAAGTGGCTGGCCTTTGCTGGCCTTACCTTTCCCAGGTAGGTGAAGAGCACCGCCTCAGGGGACAGCTCTCCCTGGTGTAACTTCTGCACCAGCTGAGGCAGGGGCAGGGCTAGCAGGGCCTCTGAGTCCAGGTCTGGGTTCTGTGGGGAACAAAGTCGGATCAGTCCCCTACTCCCCCGAAGGCTCACGAGCCTGCTGCAGACACCGGTAGCCCATGCTCCTCAGTCTCCACATGCACCCAAGCAGATGCTTACTGTCATATGCCAAACCAGACATGGCCACCAGCAGCTCCAACATGGCCCAGCCTGGGCAGGCCCATGCCATCCCTAGAGAGTGCAGCTCTGTCTCCTCTACAAGCCTGCTGAAGAGATGCCCAGCTGGCCGACATGCCCAGGCAGGTTTTTTTCTTTTCCTTAAAGACAGGGTCTGGCTGTGTTGCCCAGGCTAGACTTGAACTCCTGGGCTCAAGCGATCCTCGCACTTCAGCCTCCTGACTAGCTGGGACTACAGGCACACACTACTGTGCTGGGCTCCAGACTGATGATTAAACCACTACAAGTAAACACCAGCAGCAGCTGCCTTCTGTGTGCCAAGCACCACGCTGATGTCATCCATGTTTTGATTCAGTCTTACTGCCATTCTTGCCCGCTGGCCATCTGCCTGCACCTGACTCCATGCCATCCCCATGCCCACAGAGCAACTCTGAACACTGCCGGGGGGTTGCCAACCCCTGGCAGGGAGGGGCAAAAACAAGAAGACCCCATCTTGGGGGAGGCTTGGTCTGTGACTGAAGGCCACACCCAAAAGGAAGGGTTCACACATTCATTCCACAGATGTGTATCAAGTGCCTGCTCTGTACCCAGCACCACACTAGGCTGAAGTTGAGCCGTGAACAAGAAGGTATGCCCAGGTGAGCTTACACAGGGCAGGGGCAGGGTGAGCAGACTACAGGCGAAAAGATGAGATTTTAGACAATGAGAAATAAAGACAATAAAACAGAGTGTGGTGAGTGGGTGTCACATGGGAAGGATGGAGAGGGAAGAGCTTTCCGCAGGAGGAGGGGCATTTGGCAGACCCAGGCAGAGGCCTGTCTTGTTGACTGAGGGGAGTGGAGTGGGGAAAGAAAAAGGGCTCCCAGAGTCTCTGGAGTCAGCCCCTGCCTGCAAATACCCATCCGCTTCCTCCTTCCTCTTTCCCCAGGGTGTTGCTTTGTTTTTATTTGTTTTTTCAATTAATGTATTTTTTTTTTTTTGAGACAGAGTCTGGCTCCATCACCCAGGCTGGAGTGCAGTGGTGCGATTTCAGCTCACTGCAACCTCCGCCTCCCATATTCAAGCAATTCTCCTGCCTCAGCCTCCGGAATAGCACCTGGACGCCATGCCATGATAATTTTTTGTATTTTTAGTAGAGACGTGTTTAGCCATGTTGGCCAGGCTGGTCTCAAAGTACTGACCTCAAGTGATCTGCCCCCACCATGACCTCCCAAAGTGCTAGGATTATAGATGTGAGCCACCACACCCAGTCCCTCCTCAAAGGTATTGGGGTAGTGAGTAAACACTAAGCCGGTGCAGTAGCTCATGCCTGTAGTCCACAGCCTCTGCACCTGATGTTTTCAGCATCAGGAGCACTTTCCTGAATTCAGTGAACTGATATACACTTACTTTGGATTTGTTTTTTCCTAACACAGGAGCTACAAAGAAGAAAAAAATGGGTTCATGATTTCTCCCCAAACACAGCAGATAATCCCTGTTGAGATATATATATATTTTTAACTTTTTTAACTTTTTTACTTTTTTATTTTTTTCCTGCGAATATTCCAAGCAATCTGTTGATATATATTTTTTTAAAGTACACAAAATGAAAAGTGACCTTATCCTCCACCCCTGGCAACCCTTGCACAGTCCCTCCTCTATAAAGGAAAACTATACTTAACAGTTTTTGCCGGGCGCGGTGGCTCAAGCCAGTAATCCCAGCACTTTGGGAGGCCGCGGCGGGTGGATCACGAGGTCAAAAGATCGAGACCATCCTGGTCAACATGGTGAAACCCTGTCTCTACTAAAAAATATAAAACATTAGCTGGGCATGGTGGCACGTGCCTGTAATTCTAGCTACTCAGGAGGCTGAGGCAGGAGAATTGCCTGAACCCAGGAGGCAGAGGTTGCAGTGAGCCAAGATCGCTCCATTGCACTCCAGCCTGGGTAACAAGAGTGAAACTCCGTCTCAAAAAAAAAAAAAAAAAAAAAAAAAAATTCTGATGTACTCTTACAGGAAAAGAAAATATTTATGTAGGTCAGGCACAGTGGCTCATGCCTGTAATCACAGCACTTTGGGAGGCCAAGGCAGACAGATCACAAAGTCGGGAGTTCGAGACCAGCCTGGCCAATATGATGAAACCCTTTCTCTACTAAAAATACAAAAATTAGCTGGGCTTGGTGGCGGGCACCTGTAATCCCAGCTACTCGGAAGGCTGAAGCAAGAGAATCGCTTGAACCTGGGAGGTGTAGGTTGCAGTGAGCCAAGATCGTGCCATTGCACTCCAGCCTGGGTGACAGAGTGAAACTCTGTCTCAAAAAAAGAAAAGAAGAAAAAAAAGTATTTATGAAAACCCACCATGTCAACAGTTGTCTATCTAAGTTCTTTTTTTGCATCTTGCCTTTCCCACCTCATGATGAAAATTAAAACTTTGCGGCCAGGCGCTGTGGCTCAGACCTGTAATCCCAGCACTTTGGCAGGCTAAGACCGGTGGATCACAAGGTCAGACATTAGAGACCAGCCTGGCCAATATGGTAAAATCCCATATCTACTAAAAAAATACAAACAAATTAGTTGGCTGTGGTGGCGTGCGCCTATAATCCCAGCTACTCAGGAGGCTGAAGCAGGAGAACAGCTTGAAGCCAGGAGGTGCAGATAGCAGTGAGCCGAGTTCATGCCACTGCACTCCTTTGCTTTATTTTTGTGCTCATTATATGAATATAGGTTCATTGTATTTTTTAAAATGCCTAATAGTATGGAGAAGAACATCGAAATCAGCAGAGCATTCACCACACTGGGATCATTGCCACCCAACAGTCCAGTCACCATCTCCCGGACCTCACTACGAGGCATCCACAGTGTCCCTGCACACGGCAGCTAGAAGGTAACAACATGCTCCCCTCTGCTCAGCACATATTTTCATTATTTTCTATGTTCTTCCCTGTTGACAGTTAACGACACAGTTGCTAACAGCTATTTTTAAACCTTCAACTAGTGTCAGGCAGCTGAGACATTTTCTCCCAGACACCACAGTAAGTCTGTACCTCCAGGAAGCCAATCAGTGACCATGTGGAAACCTGATTTTGTGGAGAATGCAGGGAAGTATAGTATACAGGTAAAGTCTAACCCCGTGGCCACCTGCATGCACAATTTTTCAAGAGACAGATACTCTACCGGTCACTTAGGGGGCATTGTCCCTCCTCCATCTGTTTAGTTTTCTCCTTCTGAACCGCAATGCCAATGGGACTGATAAGCAGCTTGTAAGAGATGTGGGAAAAACCATTCAGGGTAAAACAAAACTGCCTGAACAAAAGAATAAAGGCATAAACAGGTGTTCTGTGATGTATCTCCCAGCTATACTATTCTAAAAATGGTGGTCCTTCTCTTCAGTCTAGAAAAGATATCAAAATTCATTCAGGGGTCAGGGCGAGGAAAAAAAAATGGGTGAAGGGTCGACAGTTACCAGAAACACACTTTTCTCTAGAGTTGCTCAAGTATTTAGAGAGAGGTGAACTATTTTGTAAAAATTCAGAAGGTGTTTAGGTATCCCCTCATCCAGCTGTGTCCTCCTTGGACCTAGAATCTGACGTGGTGGCTCATGCCCGTAATCGCAGGATACTGGGAGGCTGAGGCAGGTGGATCATCTGAGGTCAGGAATTCAAGACCAGCCTGGCCAACATGGCAAAACCCCATATCTACTAAAAATGCAAAAATTAGCTGGACATGGTAGTGGGCATCTGTAGTCCCACCTACTGTGGGAGGCTGAGGCAGGAGAATCACTTGAACCCGGGAGGTGGAGGTTGCAGTGAGCCGAGATTGCACCACTGCACTCCAGCCTGGGCAACAGAGCAAGACTCTGTCTCAAAAAAAAAAAAAAAAAAAAAAAAAATCTGAGTTTCCGACTTTCTTTGTCCAAAATCTATCAGACAGGAGCTTTACTACAAACCGCTGTGTTCTCCCAGGGCCTGCTGGAGCCCTGCCTATCTCGTGCCTTGTTGTGATTCAGGGCTAGGCTAAGAGAGCCCCAGAAGAAAGGCAGCCTGACAGTCCCAAATCCTACCTCCCCATCATTCAAGGACTCCAGAGCCAAACAGAAGGGTGCCTTTGGAGTTTGGGGCAGAAGGGAGGGGAAGCAGGGGAAGGAGCTGTTCCCAAGCCTGGGCTGAATTCAGCTAAAACTCGCATCTCCTGGTGGGGCATAGTGGCTCACGCCTGTAATCCCAGCACTTTGGGAGCTGAGGCGGACAAATCCATTGAGGTGAGGAGTTCAAGACCAGCCTGGCCAATATGGCAAAATCTCATCTCTACTAAAAAATACAAAAAATAGCCGAGCGTGGTGGCGGGTGCCTATAATCCCAGCTACTCAGGAGGCTGAGGCAAGAAATTGCTTGAACCCGGGAGGTGGTGGTTGCAGTGAGCAGAGATTTCACCACTGCACTCCAGCCTGAGCGACAGAGCGATATTTCATCTCAAAAAAAAAAAAAAAAGAGTATGAGACCAGCCTGGCCAATGTGACAAAACCGTCTGTGCTAAAAATACAAAAACTAGCCAGGCATGGTGGCGTGCACCTGTAGTCCCTGCTACTCGAAAGGCTGAGGTGGGAGGATGGCTTGAGTCCAGAAGGCAGAGCCAAGATTGTGCCACCACTGCACTCAGCCTGGGTGACAGAGCAAGGCTTGTCTCAAAAAAATCTCCTACTCCTCCCCAAAGCCTACAAAGCTATGGTCAGTCAGGACCCTATCCCTTTGCTGATTTCTCATAACCACAGTCACTGGAAACCCTAAGGTAATTTCCCGCTTCTCCTCCTCAAAGAGCCAAGCTTTCATCAGAGCCAAAACTTCTGTGCAGGAATAATCCGTTCTTAAAAATAATGAGCAGTTGCTCCAGAGGAAAACCATACAGATGCTGCTGTTGGGAGTTGAAGCGCTGGGAGACCCATCCGGCTACCATCCCACACCCCTGCCAGCCAGGTGGATTCCTTGCAACTAGGAGGGGAGTTCTGCAGGCAAGAACTGTGAGCAGATCCCCGCTCCTGCTGCCCACGCTGCTCTTGGAGCTGGCAGAACTCAGCTGGCTGCACAGAGCCAAGGATAAACAGGAGGATCTCTAAGGAGGACCTCCAGAGCCCAGCCAGAGAGGGCAACTAGGCAGTGAGTAACCTGTGCTTGTGTAGGGGAGATGGCCAATTTGGGCTGACCACCAGGGCCTTCCCACTCTGGGAGGAAGAAACCCTAAAAATTGACTGATGGTGGACTTTTCAGCTTGGTGAGTACAGGCTGGAACAAGATGTATTTCTTATTTACTAAGTAAATATGAGATATCCTGGCCCCAGGGAGGTTTGGAGTAAATTCATACATTATAGCCAGCCAAAACTGCAAAATTTGCAGGGCTACACTCTGGGCTGGCATGCCTTCCTAATAGTTATCTTCTGCTCCTCTCCATGGGAGTGTGGCTGAAGAGTGCAGATGGGTACCTAGGTTCTAGTTCCAGCTCTGCCCCAACTCAAAAATCACTTGCCGAGCATTTAACACAGTTTTCTGCCTCCTGAATCCTGCTGTTCCCCACCTGGAAATCCTTGCCATCTGTCCGGTCCCACAGACACAGCAAGCCCTCCCTCTCTCAGCATGTAAGAACACTTCCCAGAGTTCAGCATGTTGGCTTTAACTGCGGTCAGTGTTTCACACACTCGGAAGAAAAACCCCTCTTCAAACCACCTCTTCCAAACCTTCAGCCAGGCCCTTTCACGCTCCCAAACCCACACACTGAGGTGATCCAGAGGCAGCTCAGGGAGAGAAAAGCTTGTTGACAGATCACCCAGGGAGGGCTGGAACTAAACCTGCTCATACTGCTGGGGGTTAGACACCACAGGCCAGCAGCAGGAGCTGGAGAGACTTCCCCTCTAGCCTGGCTTTGCCAAGAACTCCCTGTGCACTTGGCAGGTTTCTTTCCAGCTCCCTCTTAAGATCCAAGTGCACAAATCAAGAAGCTTGAACTCAGCCGGGCGGGGTGGCTCACGCCTGTAATCCCAGCAGTTTGGGAGGCCAAGCAGGCGGATGACCTGAGGTCAGGAGTTTGAGACCAGCCTGGCCAACATGATGAAACCCCTTCTCTACTAAAAATGCAAAAATTAGCCAGCCGTGGTGGCATGCACCTGTAATCCCAGCTACTCGGGATGCTGAGGCAGGAGAATCGCTTGACAGGGAGGTGGAGGTTGCAGTGACACTACACTCCAGCCTGGGCGACAGAGCCAGACCGTCTCAAAAGAAAAAAAAAAAAAAAAAACCTTTAACTCTAAGCTTTGCGGATTCCTTTGGCCAGTTCTGCGATTCCAAAGTCCTCAACACTAGCATCCTATTGGTTGTCACGCTTGCATTTTCGCATTCCAATAGGCAGTAAGCTGAGATTCTTCGGCACGAAGCAAAACTCCTCTTTGACCCCATGAGGCAAAGGCCTCCCACGACCTGCCCTGACACTATCGTTTCATTTCCTCCCACTGGCTCTACCTGGCTCAGAAAGTGCAGAATGTCTTAGGGCGAGGAGAGATTCTGGAAAGTTACACATCCGCTCTGCCTGCCCCGACCCTCCACGCCTGTCCCTCCGCGGGTCCTGCGGCTGAAAGTGCCGCTGCGGGTACCCTCGGCCTGCGCCCACCCTCACCCCACCCCACCCCACCCCACCCGGGCAGTCACCTGGAGCCGGAAGCGCTGCGCCGCCCTGTCCATGCTCTCCAGGCCCGCTCGCTGCCTCTGCCTCGCCCGGGCCACCGCGCCCCGAGCCGTCCGGCGTCCGGACCAGCGCAGGGCCACGGCCGCCGCCACGAAGCAGCAGGCCAGAGCGGCCCCGGAGGCGCCAGACAGCGCGGCCCACAGCTCGTGCTGCACCATGATCCCCGCAGCCTGCCGCTGCTAGCGGCGACAGATGAAGCGGCCGCACACACTCAGCCCGCTCCGCCGCAAAACCCGGCCTGGATCGGCCGGGATCCCTGGCCCGCCTGCGCGGGAGGGGCGGGGTAGAGCGCCAAGCTCAGCGGCCACCAGAGGCGGCCCGCCTGGCCCGCCCAGCGACCTCCCGCACCCCGCCAAGCCCAGCAGGAGAGTCGGGAAGGGCGCCTGTTTCGCATGGGCGATCTCCCGAGCTTGAGTTTAGCCCGGGTTCGGAGCCACAGCCCCCGGCCCGGCCTCTTCCCGGCGCACACCAGAGCCCCAACTCCTGAAGGGGCGCCCCAGCCCGAGCCCTGTGCGACACACGCCAGCCAACAAGATCTGGAGCAGCGACGGATTGGGCACGCGGACTATTTAACCTCGGGAAACCCTGTCGCAGCATCTTTCCTGGAGAACCAGGAGACTGATTGTGCACCGCAGGGCGCCTGCCTCCCCCCATCGTGGGGCTTTCCGGGGCGCTAGCCCCGGACAGACACAGGGAGAGTCTCTGGGGCGTCCACCCCAGCCCCTCCTCTTTCCCCAACCTGGGACCCCGGGTCTCTCGCCCTGGGCTCTTCTTCACTGCCTAATCCGCCCATTATTTGTCCTTTGGCACAGCCACTTCCTGCAGACTGGCCTCCCCAGGGTCACCCTGTCCCAGTCCTGGGCGCTTCTGGATTGTACATCCAAGAAGCAGAAGGAACGCCAGACCAGGGGGAGTCTGGGGACCTGGCGCCTTCGGAGCGGGATGAATTTCACGGACACAGACACACACACACAGGCTCCTTACTGCTGTCCTGGCTTCTCTCACAGAACTTTACCTGCTTTATCTCAGTTGTTCTCCCAACAACTTTGAAAAAAGCATTTTTGGCTGGGCGCAGTGGCTCACACCTGTAAATCCAGCACTTTAAAAGGCCGAAGTGAGTGGATCACCTGAGGTCAGGAGTCCAAGACCAGCCTGTCCAACCTAGCGAAACCTGTCTCTACAAAAAATACAAATATTAGCTGGGCATAGTGGTGTGCGCCTGTAATCCCAGCTACTTGGGAGGCTGAAGCAGGAGAATCACTTGAACATGGGAGGTGGAGGTTGCAGTGAGCCGAGATCACGCCACTGCACTCCAGCCTGGGTGACAAAGCAAGACTCTGTCTCAAAAAAAGAGAGAATGGGATTCTAGCCTTCAACTCACCCTTCATTTGTTGGGTGACCTTGGGTAACTCAATCTTCCTTTTGCAAAATGAGAAGCATTTTTCCAGACCCTCTCTCCCTCTCAAAGGGAAAATAACATTATAGTCCTAGGGAAACACTGGCCATTCCTGAGGCTTAATCACCAAGTTTGTAACCTGTTGTGAGTAGAGCCAAGATTTGCCACTTTAGGGACTCCAATTACAAAGCATTCACTTGTGTTTGCTGAAATGATGGCTTCTCTAAGCAGAAAGCTCCCTGGGGGCATATTAAATAGGCTTTAGTTTGCAAAAAGGGTCTAGGGATTAGGAGTGGGTTTGGAGGCCAGTGCAGCAAGTCCTGGACTGAGTCTAATGTTTTAGTCACAGTGAGTGGCCACTTCGTTCCTGTGAGAGAGGATCCAGAGACCCTTCTGACATCCTGTGGTTCAACTCAGCAGACATCCACTGATGCCTGCTACTATATGCTGTGCGCCAGAGAAACTTAAACGAATACTAGACCGAAAATCTGGCCTGTGGAGCTCAGGTATGATTGGTAAGAAAAAAGATGTGCATAGATCAACACAGGCTTTAGTGGAAATGCCTGTGAGATCATGCTGCATAACCTAGAGGGCCTTGGATTCTGGGCCCTTGGACTGAACAGTCTGCGGGAAGCAAGATCACACACGGTGTAGAGCAAGTGTTTTAGAGCTTGGCTCTGGAGTAGGACTGTCTAGTAACCCATTCTCGTTGTGTGACTCTCTGTGTCTCCATTTCCTTACCCATCAAATAAGGGTAATAATAGTACCCCCCCACACCAAATACTCTAGTACTATTATCAGTATCAAATGAGTTAATACATGCAACACAACCAGAACAGGACCTAGCATATGCATAGCAAGCAATCCATGCATATTAATCATTATTATTGTTGTTATTAACTATTATTAGAAAAATTGAGGCCTACAGAGAGGGGTTTTATGACCTGAGAATCCCAAGCTCAGGAAACAGACTACCTGAGTTCAGATCTGAACTCTGCCACTTACTGTATAACCTGGATATAGGAAGTAGAAAAGTTCCTCTTCAAAGTTTCCTTTCTTGTTCAAGAATAAATCATATGAGTTAGAAATAATAGTTTGTTTTAAAGACTTTCTTCAAAGTCTCCTTGCTTTTTGCTAATAACTCTTTGTTAAGCCCTATCCTATAGAGCTGTTAGACATGCTCACAGGCACGTAGTACATTCTATGTCCTTGTACTTTAACCAAGATATTTATGCCGTTACTTTTCTAAGTCCTTTCACAAGCAAATTCCTGTCCTTTCCTTATTTGGACTTCCTCTTTTCCTTGTGTTCTCCATTGCCTTTACCTATTCAAGAAAGTTTTAAGTTATTAACTAATCAGGTTCAGTTTTAGATTATGAAGTCTGGCTCCAACTGTTGAAAAACGTGCGCTTTGAATGAAGAGACCTTCCAAACAGGCTTTGTGTGAGCAACATGGCTGTTATTCACCTGGGTGCAGGTGGACTAAGGCGGAAAAGGGCATTAGCAAAGGGCAGTAGGATAGGAGTTGGTTTTATAGGTTTGGGTAGTTTTTTGGGGGGTGGAGGAGTTGCAGAGTTAGTTCAGTTACAGTAGTGGTGGATAGGGGCAAGGAGTATACATGACCACAAGTTCAGTTACAATGGCAGGGTTGAGTGAGAGGTATTTACATTATCATAAGAACAGTTAAGATGGCAGGGTTGGGTGACAGGTATTTATATTATCATAAGAACAATTAAGATGGCAGGGTTGGGTGAGGGGCTTGTCCAGAACAATGGCAAACACAGGCACAGGGTGGGAGACATCAGCCCAGGCAAGCAGGACTGCAAACTTTCAGGCTCCAGGCTTTCATATGGAGACCTGACACCAACCAACATCAGGCACAGCAGTAAGGACAATCCCAAATGTGTAAGAGTAAATATGTCTGCTTTTTCTTTGTTCCTTGTACTCTCATAGCAAGATGGCTAACAAGCACACCTTTTCTGCAGAAAGTAAAATTGCCTTGCCGAGAGAGCCTTTGTCTCAGTGCTGATTTTTCTTTGTGGCACCGAGCATCTGTTTCCAACATGGGAGTAAGCCATGTTAACCTCTTGTGCCTCAGTTTCCTTATCTGTAAAATGAGGATAACACTGGTGACTATCTCACAGAATTATTGTGAACATTAAGTTAATCCAAGCAAAGAGCTTGGAACAGCACCCTACCCACTGTAAGGTTCAATAAATGTTAGCTCACTTTAAGCAGAAATTTATGCAATCCAACCAGTATTTTGGGAAGGCAGTGTGGAGGAGGGTTAGGAGAGGCAAGGTGGAAGCTGAGGTCACGGACTAGAAAAGCAGGTAGATGCAAAGATCCAATGGAGGTGGGTTTCCAGGGCTCCACCTGTGTTATCGGGAAGGTAACACCACACCATTCTGTGAATCATAACCTGCTGTCAGGTTGTTCATGCAGGTTACTGTCGCTCACAGCTCCTCTAGCAGGCCCTGGTAAGTTTCCTTGCCAGCATCCCCAGTCAGCTAGTGATGGTAAGTCATTCTTTTGTTTTCAGCTGTTCAGTGAGAAGACAGGTAATACCTTCTCTGAGGTGGGGGCAGGGCTGCTGGAGGGAGAGAAGAAGGGAGGGGAGCTTCTCAGATTCCAGAGGGTGTGAAGTCTGTACTTGTTTCAGGAATGGGAGCAGTAAGTGCCCTCCTTCTCCATTTCCTTTTTCTTCTGTGAGCCTTTCCCAGGGGCCTGCTAAAGGGGAGGATATAGTCCTGCTCTAAGGAACTGCTATGGTTTGAGTGTATGTGTCCCTTCAAATTCATTCTGAAACCTAATCACCAAGGTAATGGTATTAGAAGGTGGAGCTTTTGGGGGCGGTGATTAGGTCAAAAGGGCCCTGGCCTCCTGAATAGGATTAAAGATCTTATAAAAGAGGTGTGAGATAGCTGTTGACAGCCCCTTTTGCCCTTCTTTTCTTCTGCAATGGGAGGACTCAGCCATAAGGCACCACCTATAAAGCAAAGAGGAAGCCTTCGCCAGACACCAAATCTGCCAGTGCCTTGATCTTAGACCTCCCAGCCTCTAGAACTGTAAGAAATAAATGTTCTGCTCTTTTTTTTTTTTTTTTTTTTTTAATGGAGTCTTGCTCTGTTGCCCGGCTGGAGTGCAGTGGTATGATCTCGGCTCACTGCAAACTCTGCCTCCTGAGTTCAAGCGATTCTCCTGCCTCGGCCTCCCAAGTAGCTGGGACTACAGGTGCGCACCATGACACCCGGCTAATTTTTTGTATTTTAGTAGAGACAGGGTTTTACCATGTTCGCCAGGATGGTCTTGATCTCCTGACCTTGTGATCCGCCCGCCTTGGCCTCCCAAAGTGCTGGGATTACAGGCGTGAGCAACCGAGCCTGGCCTCTGCTCTTTATAAATTATTCATTCGCAGGTATTTTTGACATAGCCCCATGACTGGACTAAGACAGGAACTCACAGCCCCACATAGGAGGAAGGATTCCACACTCAGAAGCGCTGCCTGGGGTGCTGACAATTTACAAAGCACTGTCAGGACTTCAGATGCAGCTGTCTGAACCCCCTACCACCTCTACACCCTCCTCTGAGTTTGGGGAGAATTTGTCTCCTGTGCTAAGTTGATTACATAAATGACCCCAATAATCCAGGAACCTTTGTATCTGTGCTCTCTGCAAAGTGACTTTGCAACTCCTCTCCCCAGGAGTAGAATCTATTTCCCTACCCATGTAAATCTTTGGAACTTGCTTTAACTAATGGAAAGTAGTGGAAGCAATGTGCTACTTCCTAGCCCAGGCTGTGAGAAAACTGTTTTGTCTCTCACTCCTGGAATGATACCAGGAGAACAAGCCCAACCTGGCCTGCTGGAGGACTAG